CCTCTGACTGGTTTGGCTGGAACAGCGGGTGTGGTACGTTGACTGTACGGTGGTGGCGGCGTGACAGCCGTTCCGATCGTCTCATGAAGTTCCTTCGTGGAGCCCTCTTTAGAGATGTCGTTTGAGTCATGTTTAGGAATATCTTTAGAACTACCCGCAGTGTTCTCCGCAGAGTTCGTCTTTGAACAGGAACCCTCCGTAACATCTGCACTAGTATCATCTCCCACTGCCTTATTAGTGTCTGTCTCGCTCTCTACCTCACCCGAGGTATCCGATGTGATCTTCTGCGGGGCCATGTCTTGTGCCTGGTTCGGGATACCACTCGACTGTCCCCTTGGGGTGATAACGGGAGAAATGGTGCCCGTCTCGTCCAGTGTTTTAGTCAAGGCCGTGTTCGGTTCTCTACTTGGGGTCTTGGGTCGTACGGGTACAGCCGGCGCTGAGAGGTTGCTTGTGACCATGGCCATGGCGGTCTCTACAGTGTCATAAGATATGCGAGAGAAACGAGGAACAGAGCTGGGGTTAGGGTTTCTAGCGTTTTAGGGTTTGGGATTTCTGGTGCCCGTGCTTGAAAGCTCGCACAGCTGTTTCGTGAGCACGGTTGCCTGCCCTGACCACAGGTCAGTGATGGCCCTCGTAACAGGTATATCGTGAACCAAGATCATTCGGCGTGCGAGAAATAGGTACCTAGATATAATCAGAATCATAAACAGAACATCGCACATAGTACCAATTAACTCGCAGAAGCACTTTTCAGTAAGCTGATCCATGCCTACAAACACCCAGACATGCACCACAACAGCGGTACATTTAAAAAACTAGCAGTGTCCGAGCATATAGGACTGAAAGAGGAGCTCTAAAAGCTATGCAGTCAAAACACATTACCAATCGTAACTTCCCACTGTACAACCACTACAAACACCATCGTTGCAACGATGGTTTGTCAGGTCATCCAACAAACAGTTTCAGCCTACCATACTCAGCCAAAATTAGATAGATTTCAGTCCACCTACAAGGACAATCGCATACACCTGAATGCATCCCACAACTGATGTAGGGTGCTAGTGCTAGTCAGACCTTGGATGGAGTACTCACCTGCGATGTGTGGTGCTGTCTTGTACGTGGCCAGACTGCTTTGCGAATTATACGGACTGCACTTTGGCGGCGAGGCTGGTCGCGGGGGCGGAGCTGCCAAACAGAACAAACGCTCGGGTTAGGAACACTGTATATCGAGCCTCCTGATCTGTCGGGAAGGCTGCGATCAGGCTAGATACTGACAGGGAGTAATGAACATGGACTAATGATATAGTACGGGATAGCGAATATATACCGCTGATAGCTTGCAGGAAACAGCCTGGCAGTATGAAGTTTGTTTGCTTCGATTTTTGCGAAAGGTTGCAAGTGCACATGTATTTTCAATCAAGAGCAGAACCACATCAACTGTAGGACGATACGCGTTAGTCACTGTAAGCCAAATGTGGTTTGTGGCGATAGCGGTGACCGACGGGTAAGTCAATGCTGTAAACGGTATTGCAGTGATTCCCGAGCATATCTATGTATAAATATATGAATCTATGAATGGACAACCTTATTTTCACGTTGTCATACCAAACTAAGTTATACGATTGCTAAAATTACTGTAACACGATACAAAATGGGTGTTCACTATCTTGCGCACGTGAATTTGTGTATAACTGCTTTTGTTGAAGTAGACATAAAACATATGTAAAGCATGCTCATCCGGCTACAAGTATTCAGAAGACACATACGTGCACACTCCTATGGATGTCCGTGTATAATTTTCTTACGACTATTAAGGGTATTGTATAGATTATTTTGGCTCTCACACATCTAACGCAGTCAATGCATACCTCTATTGGGGTTCATTGTGCTGAAGTCGAAGGTCGCCTCTGTTTGGCTTAGCGACGCTGTTGTGTGTGGAAGGTCAAGGATTTTTGAATGGAATATTGTTTATTACTTGGCCGATAGATATTTCTTGGTACCACGTCAAAACTTGCAACATCTTTATCTAACTCATGAATGGGTAAGAATGAATACTCGAATTACTCATAGGAATAGTCAAACAGAAAGAATCAAGGGTAGGAATGGACACTAGATATACTTATCAGGATTAAACAACTGGACAGGTAGAAATGAATACTACAATTTCTGATCAATATTGGACGAAATGAAAGATTCACTGAGTGGCGGCACGTGGGTCCGGGAGAAGTGCAGATATGTGTCTTTGTCAGCGGATGTTGAAGGGAATCTAATCACGGACTAAGCGAATGAGAACAACTTTATGAAGGTAGCACAGGCGACGATATGACAATGTGAAAGAAGAATACCAATATCAGTGCAATCCTACTCTCAATGAATTATATTATTCAGACCCAACTATACACAAGCCGTACCTAATTATTAGTATATAGTTGCCAAGTATAAATGATATCAGACTATTTCTAGTTGTACTTACCACTGGAAGACTGTGCGCTTGTGAGACTCATCCCGCTGGGGGCCGGGGGCGCGGAGGGACTTCTGTGTGGAGAAGTAACAACGGGTGACCTATAGTTAGATAAACTCGATACTCGACTACAGACCGTTATACAAATAAGGTCCGTACTTTTACTGCACAGCACTGAGGAATACGCGCATTGCATATATGACAGCTACCTAGTAGCTCTTGCGAGTAGTTTTCTTCTTTTTTTTAAATATGTAAACAACCGATAGTGAGAGGTAGATGTGGAATGGGTGATAAATGACCACACGCAGATGCACTGCTCGTACTGCCCGGTAATGCTCATTGCATCTATCTAGAAGCTCATTCGCCACAAATACTAATCAAATCAGTGAAATCATTGTTCCGGTTTTACAAAACGACTGCTCGACACCATGAAACCAGAAAATTCGTCTATTTAAATATATATATA